TACAATTACAATTAAAATGATCGAATTTTAATTCTGTACAAATATTTGGGCTCGTCGGCCCTTTTTTTCAGGTCATTATGGAAGTCAATTTTTAAACAACTGTTTCATTTACTTAATTGTTAAAACTGTATAATATGGCCGGTATTTTGGAAAATTTTTCTCAATTTGCAATATAAAATATAAACAGATATTTTTATTGACGCGTAGCTTTCAGTTGAAAATCTATTCATTTGCTGTTAAAACGAATTTTTTTTTGTGTTTTCTGCTGTTGTTGTCGTTATTTGTACAAATTATTCACATGCGAAAGTGTTTCACTGAAAAACAACTTATTTTATATGCGATACAAGTCGATTTATACTACTATTAGTTTTAATAACTATCTGTAGCCATTTTTTCGTGTTTGTTTTTATTCTTGGTAAGTTTTAGGTCAGCGGTCTGGCGTGTCTAAGTGGTCTTCTTTCTTTTTTTGGATTTCGTAAATCAATTATTGTATTCAAGATGCTGGCTTACTTTTTTTCCTACTCAAATATCATCGAACGGCATAAGAAAAAACCAACAATAAAATAATACACAAAGACATTGTTTATTTATTTATTCTGTATTTGTCAATACAGCACCTCAATTTAATACTTTGTTACTTTGCTGGTTTACACTGTGCTTAGGTTGGACTGTACCGGTTTGAACCTACTATCCACAGATGCGCAACGAAGTGTTTATTTAAAAATTCCTGTAAACCTGTGACCTCCCCGTTTATACTATGCCTCGACCCCACTATGCCCCGTCCCCACTATGCCCTAACCCCACTGTACTGGTTTTTTTTTTTTGCAAAAATTTTGTCGCTCAAACAACACAAAATCAAAATTAAATTTAGTTGGAATTGTCGATGATTTATGTTTCAACCGTTTTTATTCAAAAATTGATAATTACAATCGTTTATACTCAATAAGAAATCGGATAAATCCTAACCGACATCATGGTAAAACCAATACCTTCTCTACTTTGGACCAGAGCTAAAACATTTTTCGGGATTTTTGTGCAAAAGGCTTCAAAAGTGGTCAAATTATATGGTTTTGGGGGCCGGCGATTGCGAATTTAATAACAGTTTTCAATTTTACTCAGCCAAGAAAAACTTAAGTAAAAAAAAAAATTTTTTTTAATTTTAGGTGTTTTTGTTAAAATATACGAAATCTGCGAAAAACACAGTTTTCCAGCAATTAAAGAAAAACTGCAGTGTCGTATATTTTCTTCGTTTAATATATTATGGACACATATGAGTTCTAACTACTGACAAATTTTCAACTAAAAGGTCTTAAAATTACGGCTAAAAACCCCCAAAAAAACAATTTGACCGAACATCTATTTTATATCTGCGGTAAATACGACACTATGTAGTCTTAATCGAAAAACTATACCGGGGCAATCTTGTTGCAACTGTTGTTCGCAGTACAAGTTGTCGTTTAATGACTGTCCTGGTGACGTTTTCGCGGACGCATCAAAAACAATCTTTAGCTTAGTAGTTGTACTTTCCGGTCGGAGTACTGCATGTGTCCGGCGTCTAAATAATCTGGCATTGCGACATTATACTCTTGGTGAAGCTGAAGGGATTTGATGAATCGGCTCTCTAATTGTTGTAGACGGTGCAGTGCTATATCTTTTGATTTTCCAAGAAGAGGTGGATATTGCCTAAATGGCAGATGGACTACATAGCGGCCATGTGGCTGACGACTTGTTGTAGTTGCATAGATATGTTCGCACTCTACACTAGCTGGTCAACTTTTCTCCGTTTTGGTAACCTCATCCACGTCAAACAATTGTTGTAATGCTTGATTTGTGGACTCCAGTGAACATAAAGTTCAATAATTTTATCATTTGGCGCATTGGTAGTTTTCCCCGTTATAAGCCAACCGAAAACTGTGGCTATAGCTATTGGTCGATCTATTTCTCCCTTATATTTATCACCCAAAAGTAGACGTGGAAAGATCTAACCTAACTGATTTTTACACACTTGGCACGTAAACGTCTTCTTATCTCCCTTCTTCTCCGAGTACACTGAAACCGATTTTTTTGTCCTGTTGACTATTAAAAGTACTGTAGTTTTACCCAGCTTGGCTGGTTTACTTGTCGTCTTGAAATTTTCTTGGCTAACGGCGGCAGACTTACATTATTTAAGAAGAAAGGTGGTAAACTCTGATACTGTTGGATCCTCTGACGTATCCAATAACAACTCCCATTGCGCCCTAAGCTGTTGATCGACATTTTTTCGTAACAAATTTAAAATAATTGGATCCCATTGATCGACACCATTGGATAGATTTTGTAACGCTCCAGTTGATACGATCACCACATTCAGTAATCTCCTGATGGAACCAACATCCCCAAATAATGCTTTTGGCGCACTAAATTGTTGATCTAGATAACTTCCGTCTATCACCCCACGGTTGGAATATTGCGCTGTTTTTGTGATAAGGCCAACTCATAGTTTCCGTCCCTTAACATTAAATTACTTATGAGCTTCAATGGTTCTCCTTCTAAATAAGACTTAAGATAACCGAATTTGACAACCGATGGCATGGACGTTTCATGGACTAACTTGTCAAACATATTTTTGAAGCTTGTGTAGTCCATAGGATTCCCTCCGAATTTAGGAACGGCCAGTATTTCAACTGGGTAGTAAACATTGGGTGAAGAAGGTTTGGCTTCAAAAAATGTTTTATTCAAAGAAGTACCCGTGGTTGTCTTGGGTAAAAACTGGTCTGCAATAATTTTACAAGCAACGTATTTTTCTTCGAAGTCAGCTCGTATCTTTTCTGTATTTACCCTTTGATCTGCCTCTATCATAGTTTTGCATTGGTGGCGTATAATAGTTGCCAGCTGGGTTTCAAAATCATTCAACAAGTTTTCAATCGTCGCGTACATAATTTTAAATTTACTTTTTGCCATTTTCTTTGTAGATTCTTTTTTGAGTGTCTCACTCGCCTCGTACACTCGTTCCACTCGACTTTGCAAACTTGCGATGACCACCTTTGCTTCTTCAAATACACCCATTTTATTCAAATTATTTTGTATTTAATTTTATAACGAGTCGGAAAAACACTCTTTTTCTATTTTATTTTATTTTGAAAATCAGGGTATTCTTAAGACAAACAATATTTTACTATAATAATAATAATTTATATAATCTATATAATTTAGTGTGTATTATCGAAAGGAAAGCGTGGATGAGCGTTGCCTTTGCGGTACAGGGTATTAAATTCTAAAAGTTGTAATTACGCTAAAATTAAAAGGCATGAGCCTAATGGGTCAAAAGTTATAGTAAAAAAGATAATAAAAAAATAACTTTGCAGGGAACTAAATTCATATTCGTGTACAATTTTATTTTTTAAGTTATTTCTTTAATCACCAAAAATAAAATTTCAAAATTAAAAACATGCAAAACTAAGTTTCTTTTTACTTTGACTTAATTTTTAAGAAACATATTAGTTATTTTACAAATGAAAAAAAACTTGATTATAAAACAACAAAAAAAAAACAGATTATAGAAATTTGCAAATAATGACTTCTATATCGATAAGAGCGTGGCTACAGTCTAGAAAAGAAATGTCTACATATTATACGAAAAATCATTTTAATGCTAAAATCTAGGAAACGTCCATTTTTTGTTAAAATTACTAAAAACACTCATTGAAAGATAATGTGTTATCATAATTATTATCATATAACCTAAAACACATTGGTTATTATAATAAACACACTAGGAGTACAGAGCATGTTATTCAGAAAGCATCATGATAATAAAACAATAAAGATTACAATTTTAATTCTATAACTTGTGTTTTTATTATTATGTTTAAATAATATATTAACATGGATGAAATGTCTAGAAGTCAATCTGTATATATTAAAACTTAAAAGGGAAAGAAGTGAAGAGTAATAAAAACATTATTTTGATACTTGACTGACTATTTGACAGTGCTTATAATAACGGCAAAAGAGAGGTTTAATAAAATGTCTCGATGCAAATCTTTTAGTTTTTAGATCAGGACCTTTCATACTAAAGGTACTTTGATACTTAAGGTCTGACGTCTGTTGGTTATTAGAAGTTTAAAACTGAGGAAGAATGATATGTTTGTGTGACAGTTACTTAGGAACTCAAGAATACAAAACAAGAATGAAATGTCTAGAGGTTAATCAGATTATAAAAAACGGGCAAAGAGTACGAGAATGATAAACAGTTAAATAAAATAACTTTTAAGTGTTCAGATCTGGACAGTTACATAATAATAATAATAATAATATTCAGTGCATCAAATACCTATATTATTTGATACTTATCCAGACACATATTTTATATATAACAGATAAATTGATATAAACATTCATATTTTTTAAATTAAACCATGAAAGGTATAAATCCATAAGTTGATATTTTTTTAGATGGCTAACCAACTAAAAAAAAAAATATATATATATAAAAAAACTATAGTTGTAACTTTTATTCTAAGTAGTATTCATAATTGTACAGCTTTAACAAAAATAGGGGAAATAATTAATGCTTTAATTATTCGTACATCAGTATCGTATCTATGTGCACGTTTGGAAACGAAAGCGTTAAGAAAAGTCGCTTAAGACACTGTATAATGGAAAAATTAACTAAAAATAACACAAATTGAACGTGGCCAGGGCTTAAGCTCAAGGGACCACAGACAAAGGGGGGGGGGTATAACTTAAGTCATTAATGAATCGCCCTGTATATAAACGATCACTAAATTTGCATTTATATAAACAGTGGAAATGGATACGCGCGCCGTATCACACAAGTGTTTTTTTCTGAAGTAAAAAAAGTTGTGTACAGCGGTAAGGCGAGAATTGTGGTATTGTATAGAAAAAAATTCCGTTTTCTAAGTAATGTATGTACACGATATATCATAAAAAAAAAAAATAAACCTATTATGCAAATAAATGAACAATATTTACGATGCAAAAAAATATTTGGGTCGTGATTTTTTTATACTTAAAACCCCTCGATAAGTCACAAACAGTACATATAGTTTCAAAAGTTGATCAAGTCGATTGCTGTCCAAGTACCTCATACCAACTCCACAATTCAAGTAAGTATTTTATTGAACACTAAACAATTTTATTACGCTAAAATTAAAAGGCATGAGTCTAATAAGTCAAAAGTTATACCTAGTATTAAAAAACAGTAAAAAGAATTTTGTATTGCTAGTTATTTTTTTGTCGACTCTTAATCATCATTCTACACAATTCGCATTTTGGAGAGAATTCTATTATAGATTTTGGTTTTTTTGTCGTTTTTGACTTGAAGTGTACTACAGGATGAGTAGTTAAAACAGGCAGTTTTTAAAATCGTTTTCATAATACCTCACTAAAGTAGATCTTTTGCGTACAAAACCAAGGTATAAAATCAAAAAAATATATATTTCGTCCACCCGAAGTCAAAAATGCAATATTCAACTAAACGATTAAGATTTTCAAAATTATAAACTTGCAATAAAAAGTTTCTATTTACTTTGATTTGATTTTTTTGATAAATGTTATTTTCTACACTGTAGACTAGTTTATATTGCATCAAATGAAAAAAATATTTATCATATCTTACCAGTTAATCACACTCGGTAATGTTCAGCATTCGCACAGATTTTCCGATTGACCATCAGCCCAATAATATATCCATGTTAAAATAATTTTAATATTAATATGTAGGCAACATATATTTATTTACTTGTTTGATTTATTAAAAAGCACTTATAATTTATGGTTGTTTGATAATTGTAGACATGTTATAAATACATATCATGTTCAATCCAACCAAGTTTTTGCTTGGAATTAAATCAAACTATGTTTGGAAAGGAATAAAGATAAAACAAAAGGTTTTGATGAGAATGGATAAAACACCTGTCAGAGAAAAAAAAAGAAACCACATCTAAACACACATAATGATAACTTAACCTATGTTAGGGTTAAGTTATACATTTCTAAACAACAATTAAAATTTTACTTACTATAATAAAGCATATAATACACAAACACCTATTATTTTATTATGAAATCAAATAGAAATACTGTTATTATTAGTTTGTAACGAATGTCTTACATGCAATGGTTCTTTTCAATGTTCATGTTTTATTAGATTATAGATTTACATGCAATTTTTCAGGTGAACAAAATTGACAAATTTGTAAAAACCAATAATCGTAGTCAAGTTCTGACGCTTGAAAATGAAGTGTATAATATAACTTCATAAAATCTACTCTTAATTAGGTAATCAAGCGCTTGTTTTTTAAATGAATCCTTTATTTAATAGGGCATTATTAAATTCATGTCCTTAAATGCTCCCAGAGCATTTGTTTCTTTGTAGGAGCAAAGGAACACCTGTTTTCCATTATAATATTGACGGTGTTGCGCTGAATATAGTTACTCATATAAAGGATTTAGGTATAATTTTGTCAACTGACCTGTCATTTAAGGAACATATTTCGCACATAAACAATAAGGCTTTTAGGATGTTTGGATTTTTAAAAAGAAACTGTTTTGAGTTTAATGACCTTAAGTGCTTAAAAACATTATACTGTTCCCTTGTTAGGTCAATTGTCGAATATGGCTCGATTATATGGTGTCCTTATCTAATTGGACAAGTCAAAGATCTCGATAAAATACAAAACCGGTTTCTGTATATGCTAAGGTTTAAGTTAGGGATGCTGGATTCTAGAATAGACGACATAGCGGTTGAGGTTAATTTGGATTCGCTTGCCAAAAGAAGATTTCATAATGACATCAAATTTATTTATAAGTTATTAAATAATGATATTGGCTGTCCCGAGCTGAAAATCTAACTTTAATAACAACATTAATTAAAATAATTTTTTCCATTTTCTATTTTGAATAGTGTAACCTAATTTTATATGCACAATGAAATTAAAGTAGTAACAGACATATTTTTATTTTTTGTCTATCTTCGTTATAGTGAAATAACTGTAACTTTAGCCAAATAAAGTACCTTACAAGTTAGATTTCTACCTTCCTATACAAAAAATCTGTTTAACGGTCTAGGAAATGTTTTGGGTCTTGTAAAAATATGATTATGTATATATATATATGCATATAGTTAGCTGCGACACTGAGTCCAATACACGATTCTGTTTATTGACCATGTTTTTGAATGAAATGGCTGATGAATAAATTGATTATCAGATAAGACATTAGGTATAAGATATTAGAGATATAAGATTAGAGATAAAATATTAGAGATAAGAGATTAGTTACTCTTAATTAGGTAATCAAGCGCTTGATTTGTAAATGAAACAGCTGATAAATAATTGTAATGTAATGTATAAGAATATAAGGATATAGGGATATATATATACAAGGATGTAATGATATATTAGGATATAATTTAAGGATGTAACGATTTATATAAGGATAGTCTAATTAATTTGTAAGGTAGGCACTTACTTACTGGCGAACTACGGAAATTGAATTATGAGAAATGTTAAATATTGATAAACGTTGCCAGTAAATTCGTTTTAGGCCAAATATTATAAAACTACTAAAAACCGTTAGGCCAGAACATATAATTAAGACTATAATATCATCATATATCGCAAGGAGGTTATGGATCGGAAACACTAATATAATTATCAGGACATATCCATGTATTGATGTATCTGCATGAAGTGTGGATAATCTTAATTTTTTTTATTTATTATTGTTCACAGATAAAAATGAAACTCTTCTGTTTATTAATGTCCTTTTTCTGCGTGGGTGTTTTGGCAAATAATTATGGTAATATTTTATTTTCGCAGTTATTAAATCAAGGTAGTTAAAATTCAATATTTCACTTTTTACAGAGACGTATATGAATAATGTTAACACTATAAGTCAGTAACATTTTTATTTTATAAACAAATGTTTTTTAAGTTTTTAAAAGTCCACTGTTTTGATACAAATTTTTAAATTATACATCATAGATGAAGCCATGAAAATTGCTTATGAAAAGAATGATGTAACTCTGGGAATAAGATCTGGATTAAGTAAGATATTATATTTAAAATAATATATAGACGCTTTGTTATATGTATCTATTTGCCAAGTTATTAGTAAATTAAAAAGTATAGTTGTTAGGTATCAATTATTAGGAGAAGTGCACCACATATGTAGAACAGTGTACAGAGCAATATAATAAATACATCAGCGCTTTATAATAATATAATCGAGGGAGAAGCGTAAAGTTAAATGGATACTTACGTTTCTTAATTAGATTTATTTTTAATATTTTAGTATAGCCAAAATCTTTATTTGTTTATTCTAGATGCATTGGAGTGTGTGATTGAGAGAATGGTTGATGATGTCAATGATGCACGTTTCTACAAGGATTTTGGTAATCATAATTATAATAATAATATATAACATCAAGACAAGAGTAGAAAAAAATATTCGAAAACAATATAAAAATTGCATCTTAAATTTATATTTATGCATTGGATTAGTGTTTTTTTTTAACATTGATATGTTTTTGGACGGGGGGTGATTCCAAACTTCCATGATCTGTTATGTTGCGTCCTAGATATGTGAAATGTTGTACTTGTCTTATTTGTTGATTGTCTATATTTATGTTTAGTCGGCCGGGGTTAGTTTTACTGCATCTATTGCTATTAGGGTAGTTTTTATCTCCAAATTTAATTTTAAAATTTAAAATTTTATAAAATGTTCAAACGTTTTTTATGCGTAGTAGGAATAAGATATCAAAAAAAAAAAAAAAATACCTTGAAGCTTATACAAATTAACCGGTAAATTTATTGACATGGTCGAAATTTATTTACACCAATTTTTTCTTAAATATTGCCTATACAAAACTCCTTAAAAATGGACGGTATCCAGGGGCCTTAATTCTGCTGGGATTTCATCTATACCGCATGCCTTATTGTTTTTAAGATTTTCTACAGCTGAATTTATTTTATTCGCATCGCCTTAACTGCATTAACTCGGTCATTGCATTTCGTAAGGATTCCCTAGTCTATGTCATATAGTTTTTATCTAATTTTACTTTCTTCTTCTAATTTATTATTATACAATGTAATAATTTATTATAGCAATCAAATTCAATATCATTAATTTATTTAATGTCAATTTCAGGCAAAATTAATTTGTTGTTAGCTGTACCGGGTAATAATTTTTGTTGAATTTTATGAAATTATTTCCAATATTTCATTCCTATTGAATTTTCTAAATAGACTCTCATTGTATTGAATACACAGTGGAGCATATTTCTTCCGAGTTACTAATACACATGTTAGTTCTACCTTGAAATTAGTTTTTCTGTTTATAATAGAATAGCAAATTAAATGCCATATCTTTAATTTATGCGTTGTTAATTTCAGACCACACGGAAATTCTCACTAGAATACCAAGTAATAATTTTCATTACACTTTATGGAAGAATTTTTACACAGTTGTTTGATATTCTTTATGCACACAAGATTTTTGTTTTAATTTCAGCATTTCTAGTTCTTGAACCATTGGAAAGTAAAAACCCCTTTTATATTTTATACTTATTGTACTTATTGCATTTTTATTATATATAACTTTGAGAATAATAATATGTACCTATTGACAAATACCAATATGATATATCGGTTTTTGAATAATACAAAATATGTGGGTATATTAAATTGTATTTTGTTTTATATTTTAGAAGCCAATATGTTCAACTTTATATTGCTGCGGGAAATAGAACGTATGATAGGTAAAAATAAAATTAAAAAATAAATGGTTACATATGTTTCTTTAAAACTACAAAAATATGTAAATATATATATATATATAAAGAGTATATACATATATACTATACATAACATATACATAGTAAATAATATGTTTTATGTTTAAGCTTATAACAATCATTCGAAATATAATTTAAACCATTTATTTATACATTGCTATAAGATATACATTAACATTTATACAATAATATTTTGCAATAATTAATATTGTTCTAATTAACCTCAGTTATAGAGTGAATGTTAGGTACTAAATATTTGTTTTATTAACCGCTTCATGATATTTTGATTTTTGATGTATTTGTTACAGACCAATATTGTTATGGATATACAAGAAGTAATTACGACATTTTTTATAGTCATTAATAGCCTTAAAAGCTTGTTTTATAGTTGATATTTGCATTATTTCATTTATTTATTTTGTACGTCAGATAAAATTTTTAATAAGTTTAACTTTTTGTCGAGGAGAATGGGAGGGAGAGTGAGACTTAGTTACAATATACGTTGATATTTTGAGCGTTATGATTGAAAATTAAATAGAAAAACGAATCCTTTTTCACCTCATCAACTACAATGGTGATGTGTAATAAATTCTTTCAATCATTTCATAATTATTTTCATAGAATTAAGAACAATGAAAGAACTTGGAGACGAAAGAAGAAAATATGTTCTTCTAGCTTTAACAAGTATAATCAGACGTCGTATTTTAGGTAAATATTATAGAGTTGTACGGTTTTTGAACGCTATCAATATATATATATATATATAACGTGGCTGTAAAATACGGACACCATGCTTTTTGTGTTATTTTTTTTCCATTCATAAAGAAAAGTAGTAAACTAGTATAATGATATTAGCAGATTAAAAGGGAATTTTCCAAATTTTTTAGATGAATCTGTGGGGCATGTAGATGATGATGCCACTTTATTACCAAAGTGTCGTATCCTAGGATTATACTTGAGTACACAATTTCCAGAATCATTCACAAAAGAACTTAAGATTGACTCAACTATCAATAAGTGTATCTTCATGGACGAAAATAATGCGATCAGGATATACGGAAAAATTGACGATACATGGTATTACATCAACCAGTTTACAAAACTCGAGGAACAACTACGACTTGGAGTTCCACCAGAAACAAATGAAGAAGATGGCGCAAACACAATTCCAAAACATTTTGACATTTCTTTTTTTAATAAATAAATACTTATCTCTTTCCTATTTTGGGCAACCTCTGTATTACATTGTAGTTCACGTTACATTATGTTTTATCAGGATTTAAATAGAGTTCTATTTAACCTAACCTCTAATCGGTCCAGCGATTTTTAAGATACATAAAGATCTAAAGAATATAAATAAATACAAAAATTACCACAGTTAAACATACCTTTGACCTTGATTTTCTTCAAAAACTTAATCACTTTTGTTGTAATGAACCTAAATATTGGTATCCTTTTTAGTAGTTGAATTCAAAATTATAAGTATTTTTTCTTAAAACAAAAAAAAAATATCTTTTTATTCGAATACCGACCTAATAGGATATTGAAATGAAAACTAAAACTGTTACTGAATGCTCTAGGATGTTCTTAGATAGGTTCAGTTACTGTGGGCTTTTCCAAATACTGTGATTTTTTTTAAGTTACCTAATTAAACAAATTTTAACATGATATACAACATATTCCACGACGCCTGTGGCAATGTATTTAATTTTGTACTACAAAATATTCCTCGGAATTACTACATTAATTTTGGACAATGGTTTCTCATATTTCAAACGAGATTTTTATTGAAACTCGTTTAAATCTAGACACAGGAATGGTGATTTTTTTATTTAATAATACATTTCTGGTATCAGATAGTATAGAATATATATCACAAAATCGCATAAAGCGAATAATATATGAAAACAAATAATTGTAACGTCGCTTAGAACACTTAGAGCGGTTGGTTTTGGTTTTCACATTAAATGTGTATTGTGCATTGGCTGTGTACACGGGCTTACATGATATTTTTACTTATTGTGGCAGTATTTTACAAGTTTCACTTTAAGTTGTTACATTTAACGTTATGGGTTGTATACACTTATAAAATATTATATTATATAAAATCTAAATGTATAAACCTTAAGCTGAATGTAAACATAAAATTACTTATCGTTCGTTTAACCGAGACTAAAATGCATAAGCCTCAAATTTAAAAAAAAGTATACATTTATTTTATTTGATACAATAGGTCATCATGCATGTTTATTATAGTACACTATAATATATGTTGCAATATTAAGCACTATTATACGATAATTTTCAGTTTTAAAAATTTGAAAGTCACACATAAGTTATGATTTATAGCATTTTTTTTTTTTTATTAAACCCAACGTTCAATTGTTTTGTACGTTTTTAACAGATTAGTTTAAAATGCCTGTAGCAATGTGAGCAAGTAATAACAGATATATGTGCGATATTCTACAAACAATGAATATATCATAAGAATTCCTTTCTAACTATTGCAGTTTTACACTAAATTACTTATGACTAATGTGTTTAAAGCAGAAAACACAGAATATAATTTTACATACTATTATATTATCAAGTGGTTTTTGAGAATTTAAAGATTTTTACAGTAAACATATTAGGTGTTCAAAAAGAACAAAATTCCGAGCGGATTTTTTTTTAAATTTTGCCTAAGTGCTGAATTACTGAAGCTGATCTTTTGGAATTTTGAATTTTAGGAGACCAATACCGGGCCCGGATATTCCTGGACGCAAGAATACCATCATAGGGGCAATAGTAACAATATTATCTACTATTTTCCATGTGTAAATTATAGAATTAAAAAATAAAATTATAAAAAAAATAAAAACGAAAACATTATATAATCCGTCAAAAGAAATTAAATAGATGACGTCAAAGTAATGATCAGTTAAACGATAGTAAACATTGAAAAACTATAAAAAAAAATTGGTAAGTATACTCGTATATCATTAATTCATATTAAATCGTAGGTTATGTAAAGAGCAAAATAATGAAAAATTGTTACCAAAACTATTTTAAAACTGTCAAATAGTCGCGAAAGGTATATGAGGTTTTAGTCGTGTGCTTTTGCTTGATGTCTTCTAAGAGTATCTTGGCGACCATACGATTTTTTACAGACGGAGCATTCATATCGTGCCCCACCAATATGTATGCGTTCATGAGTTATGAGGTAAGATTGTGTATTAAAACATTTTTCACAGACATTGCATCTAAAGGGTTTCTCGCCGGTATGTATCCTTTAGTGAGTTTTGAGGTTAGATTGTGTATTAAAACATTTTTCACAGACATCGCATCTAAAGGGATTCTCGCCGGTATGTATCCTTTCATGAGTTTTGAGGGAAGATCTGTATCCCGACAGAATGCTTTTTTGCACACACATTGCATTTAAAAGGTTTCTCGCCAGTATGTGTCCTTTTATGAGTTTTGAGGTGTTCTTTTCGTCCAAATGTTTTTTCATACACATTGCATTTAAAAGCCTTTTCGTCCGTATGAATCCGCCAATGTCTTTTCAGGTTTGATTTTGATGAAAAACTTATTAAACAAATACCACAATTAAATAGGACATCTTTGTTTCGAGTATAGTTATCAATAGAGTTTGTACAATTTGAAGTGTCGATCTCGTTACACGGATAATGAATACTGCAACACGCATGAAACAAAATAAATTAATTTAAGATCAATATTTTATAGCAAATATTAATATTACTATTATTATATGTGTTAATGCATCAATCAAGCATAATTTTTAAGAAATAATTTCAAGGATTTGGCATACGACACATAATAGTGTTGTAATTTATCCGTTTGAAAATATTTTTACTTGTGTTAGTTTATAAAAATATAAAATTCAATTTTTTATATTTTCAAATATAGAAATTAGAAAATATTTATTTATTTATCTTGTTTACAATGCATTAAATATTGGATTTTAAATGACTTCGTAAGTATTATAATATTTCAAATCTAAATAGGTAACGGTCAGTCTACATGTTTTATACATTTATAGAACATAAAAAGGGTGAGTATGTAATTTTGTATACAAAATATTATAAAATACTACTAGCAGTAGAAATACTCTGAATGTTATTTTTCAAGAAAAAAAAATAAAATAAAGAGGAGTTCAAGAAGTAGGAAAGTACAACAGAATCATAGAATTAAATATTCATCTCATCGAAAACTATAAGTAAATTAGCATTGAGAATAGCTACGAAATAAAAGAATAAGAGTAAAGAACATGAATGTGTACAATTTTAATTTTATTACAGACAATTTAACGCGAAACAGAGACTAGAAATATATTAAGAGGGCTCCTATACAGACCATTTTTAAGGAGTTTTGTATAGGCAATATTTAAGAAAAAATTAGTTTAAATAAATTTCGACCATGTCAATAAATTTACCGGTTAATTTGTATAAGCTTCAAGGTATTATTTTTAATTTAAATCATTTTGTCTATGAGTAAAAGCCATTTGAGTTAATACAACGTACATTTTTTGTTCCATCGCACAGGCTCAACCAGTGATCCGAGAAGTAATATGAAAACAGATTTGAATTTGTCATGAAATTTACTTGAGATCGGTCGACGAATTTTTTTGATTTCTTATTCCTACTATGTATAAAACACGTTTGAACATTTTATACAATTTCAACATTTTTAAATAAAATTTAGAAAGGGTTAAAATTAAAAATTGAAAAAAGTACTTCGACCGATCCTAAGTAAACTTCATGACAAATTCAAATCCGTTTTTAGATTGCTTGTCGGTTCACTGGTTAGGCCTGTGCGATGGAATGAAAATTATGTGTTTTCACTGAAAAAATGGTCTGTATGGAGCCCCCTTAAGGGTAAAATTACTTTGAATGGTAATTTTTTATTCAACTAATACATATTACAGTATTATTTATAAAGCAACAGTAATTATTAACTTTTAATATAAATTGAGTGGCCATAGACATAGATTGGGTCTCCTATCGTCAGTTAATTTCAGTACCTACACTATATTTTCATTAAATATAATCAAATTATTATATATATAATATATTATATACAGAGTGGGCCAGAGAAACGGGAAAATTTGAAAGTTTTAGTGGCAGCCCTGAGGAGCTTCTAGAAAGGCGATAGTGTTATTTTTATGTTCACAGGTAAGTGCTATTTAGTAATCATGGATTAGTAGGTCGGTTTAGACACCATAATATCTCCAAAGGCTGACTTGAAAGTAACTTATGCTTACTCTTAATAATCAAACCTCACTTATAACTGTTATTCGTGACACGCAGGATTCTTTTAATAATTTAAGTTAACAATCTCATCACCTAACCGTCAATCAACGGTTACTTAAAACGGTAATTTATGCTTAAATTCTATTTTTCTTTATTACGTACGTGGTTACCTTAAAATGTGGTTTTTAATTCGTCGTTTTGTCTTAAAAGATTTTTGGCAGTAATTGCAGTCATACAACGTTGTTAGCTCTTTTTCAGCATCAAACAGTTCATGCCTTACGATTTCAATATCTGATTTTCGAAAACACAGTCATTGAAGCATTCTTTTTCAAATTTGACATTCAAATCGTCGTTATTGCAGCTAAATTTACAACAAACAAAATTAGCATAATTTATATTTTGTATTCAAATTTAAAAAAATATATACATAATAGTTACAAAAAAAAAGATTAAAGAACTTGCATGTATGTTAAAATTTAACGTGACACAGAGACTACAAACATATTACAAGGGTAAAATACTTGAAATCGTTGTAGGTAGAATGGTAGAAAATAATATAACATGGTAAATATCATGCAAATGTACGGTAACATAATGCGGTACTATAGACTTTGACCGGTCATCGTACCCACAATTTTAATTTTTTTGGTATTTCGGTTTAACATCATATTGATAAGAGGTAGATGTAGTTTTAAAACAATCTTTTATCATATGAAGAAGTGGTTCTTACTATAAGTTAAATGTCAGCGAAACGCTAACGTCGATACCAACGATGGGTTTATAGAGGAGGACGACATAATTACAAAAGATTAATAGTTTTATTTAGGATAAAAAAAATGGTTATAAAAATAGCCTTACACATAAGTATTGTCGACTTCATTCTTTATCAAATACTCCTCTGTTGTAGTAATTTCATTGTTTTTGAACTGCACATCTAATGGTTTGGGTGCAATGACTTCATAGGAGTGTTGTTCTGTTTCATCATTTTCAAGTTTAATTTTTAACATTTTATACCGCTTCCAAACTCTATAATTGACATTTATAGGACAAATTAATTACAAAATTTTACTATTTTATTAAGTAACAAATTTAGTAGTAACAATGATATAATAAAGAATAATTTAGTTAACATGATTTGAAAAATAAAAAACCAACAAAGTTTTGAGTGGTATATTTTGTTTTTTTTTTTAATATTTAAAACTAAATATTAATTTACTTAAATTAGATGAATAACACAAAACTACAAGTACGACTTGTTGGTAAGAATCTAACACGATAAAGATTAAAACTAGACGACAGCCCATTTTGTCGACTACATTAAATTAAAGTGACATTCTGTGTCATTCAACCAAACTCCGAGCAATTAGTAAGTAATAAACAAACACAAATGGATTATGATTCTATTTATTAACAAGCAGCATTCTAAGTCAATGGAATATGGAAAACACGACAATAGTTTATACTAAACGGTAGGTACTCACATAACGTAGAACTGTAAACCGCTGTTCACGGCTGCTGCTTGAAACTTATAATAAATTATTAACAGGCAAGACAAAAAACTCAATTGTAATTCAATAACGAAACACGACGCAATACGTTAGGTATTTATCATAAACTTCAACTAAGTTATTATGACTAATATTTAGAGATTCTCACGAATCGGACCCGTAGCAACAATAATGAAAACAAATTGTTTCTATGGCGCTAAATCTAATTGAACTAGTTATAATTCACAGAAAGGAGCGATTACAAAATAAAAATCTCAAATGCTAACAAAAACAAATTTTGTATTTAATGTACGTTTTTTTAACGCGAACTGCAGGACAATGCAAACATTTTCTAGACAGATTTGTGATAGTGTGTGTTTGTATGATAACGAGTGATTGTCGCAGGTGGAGGTACTGTAAACCGCTGTTCACGGCTGCTACTTAAGACTTATAATAAATTATGGTATAAGTGTACTTTACCGGGCACCCATTGGGCATTATTAAAACATAAAAAATAAAATATTATTATAAAAAATCGGCCGTGACGCCGCCAAAATATATTTCAAAAATGATTTAATTCAATAATTTTGAATTTGTCAAAAATCCATAGTATCAAAAGTAAAACAAGTAATTCAAACAATTTCATTTTTATTAAAAACAAAGTGTACGGGATTATCGTAATATATTATTTATGTAAGAAACATAATAATTGAATAGTAGTTAACTTTTTTTAATTTTAAACGATTTTTCGAAGTTGACGGTCTTGTTTCTGGACACACTTCTAGAACCTCTGCTTTAGTGGAGGATTTCACACAGCAAAATTGGTTGCCGTTTGCGGTGTAACACTGTGACCCAGCTATTCACAATTTTGCAATTATTTCATCTACAACTAAAGCTCTCTAGTAATTAGTAGGTAGGGATATAATATGTCAGTTTGTTTAAGACAAACGATATAGTTTTATTATATAAATACCATTATTAACGAATTTCATATTTTTATTTATTCCGTTTTTATTAAGCATGACCTACATGATAATGGGGTGACCCAGATACATCGATATATTTCTGTTGGGGTTGATAAAACTATAACGGTATATCTAAAAATCGATAAGTATAAAATATAATATTAACAATTATATTACAACTGGATGATGGTATCGATATTACATTATCGATACATTTGAACTGTACGCCCATTCCTAGTGCAGCCTGCATGAGATGATATCGTTTCGTAACAAAAATATCGATGTTTTGATATTGTTGATCATCTTGTTGTTGCGCTTCCTTATAAGTATCCAAAAAGATATAGTGCCAAGTTAAGGGTTAAAACGATTCATTGATTCGAACAAGTCGGTGAACGAATCTTGCGAACAAATCGTTTTAGTGAATCGATTCAAATGATTCGAATCATTTTGTATGATTCATTTATCCCGTCTCTAGTGTGCCTGTGTCTCAATAACCATGAAACCATTAAGACTTGTCAATAAACATTTGTTCTGGAGGGTTTGAATTTTCGTAATAATAATATTACTTAAACGTTAAATCTTGATAAAATTTTAATTGATTAACATTGAGGTTCATATGAAGTTCAAATATTTAATTCAAATAATATTAAAGTTTAATTTCAACAGCGGTAAAATAATTTATGTACACAATTTAGAAGGCGTGATAATAGAAACTGTAAATAATGAACTAGCAAAATCTAGCAAATTCATAAAAACATTTTTAGAGTTAAAAGTACAGAAAAATTAACAAGGAAATTCTAAGACAAAGTTTAAAAGGCCTCAAAATCCAGCAAATGTTCAATATGACTTTTTTTAGTCTTAGCATTATGTGCCGGTGCCAGCTTGACCGATATCAAATTTATCGATATATTTCTATTGTTATTTTTCCAATAAGAACGGCGCACACAAGGACAGATTATCAATTTAGGGCGACAAAAATATAAAACATGATATTTTTATTATTTCTGTTTTAAAAATGATAATGAGGAGACTTTTATGAATATTTAGTTTCAGTGTCGAAACCCAGGGTTAATTTAAACCGACAAAAGGGGACTAAATGTCTTTTTTTTAGCAGTCTTATTTTAAGAGCTTAGCTTAATAATACTGAACAATTTTCGGGAGGGTGGCACGTGTCTCCCCAGTGGCTACTTGAAAAAAGCTGAGAACTGTCTTCAAAAATTGTTTGTGGACGGCCTCGTTTTTTTGGCCCTGAACATTTAAATGTTGGTGATGCAAGTTGTGTTGGCTGTATAGATGGAAGTTTAAAGTTTTCATCAAGCCATTCCTTGTGGTTGTTGATAAAACGCTCGTACATATAATTACTACCACGCCATTTCGAGAAAACCTTCGTAACAAATAATTTTGCTACAAGTTGCAAATTGTTTTGTAAAATTTTTAGAAAGTTCATTCACACCAAATTTGCCTAGTATCGGTTCTAATACGTGTTCATTACATTTAGCTGCCGAAAACTTAAAAACTGTTTATTTTTTAACACCATCAATAATTCTCTCCTCGTAAACTTTACTTTCTTGAGAACACAGTCGGGGTTATCATGACTACCTACAAAAAAGAAATTGAAAAAAATAGAAAAAATAAAATAAGAGAATGGGTTATATGTGACATGGCCTCAAACAAGGGGATTTGATTTTCACTTTTTTATGCTTATTACAAGTTATGTTTTCGTACTAATTAAAAAAAGTCGGTGTGCTTTTCGGAACTTTTTTTAAAACTCCAGCCAAAGTAAAAATTGTTATAATATTTTAAACAAAAATAGTAATTTCAAAATGTACAATAGATAAGTATAACATACACCTGGTATGCAAACGATTATATACCAGATAAAAGTACATACCTGACGCTTAAGAATCCATTTTAATAACCTGATAAATTTTAATTTAGGAAAATAGGATAAGCACACTTGTAATCGATCAACAGTTTCGACTCGATTATTTTTATTAGCGCGCCACACAAAAGTAATCTTTTAAGTTTAATACCTCTGTCACCAGACGTCCAAAGTTCAAATATGAAACCATTTTATCGTGACCAATTATCTAACAACTTATTTCTAACAATATCATCATTTTTAAAAATAGTTCAAAAACAGATTTTTGTCCAACCAGATTTAAATTTTGACCCACTGTGCGGCGTAAGGTCACAACTCTAATAGGTGTAACCTTTTTTAATATGTTTAAAAAATATTAAAATAACAATTTAAAAACTAAAAAATCATGTTTATAAAAGTGTATAAATGTATGTAATAGTTGATATATCATAAACATTTAAAAATCGGGCATATGACTACATGCTACCCTGTAGGTTCCGTATCTGTGCGGTCCGTGCTAATACGGTCAGTGTCATTTAAGATTCCGTAGAAGTACGGCCCGTGGTTTTGCGGTTTTGTTTTTTCCGCGTTAGTACGGTCCGTAAAATTACTTTCCGAAATGGTGTACAGTCCGTGGTAATATTTTCCGTGATTTTACATGCGTCCACCGGTGGTTCTCAACCGCATTTTTCTAACATCTCCTCATCACTAGTTCATCGAAATTTACTGACTCTTGCAAATTATACTATCTATAGATATAACTAATTATACATCTAGTATATATATATATATATATGCTTATTCCTTGAGGTTCACCATACATTCTCGGCTTGTCTGCTCTTGGGTTTTTACGTTGGTCGTGTTGTATTTTTTCTTTAAGCGACTAAGTACGAGTTGCGGCCACATAATAATAACCACTTTATATCAGCTTATTAGCGTTACCCAAGAGACGCCACGGGGAGGTTGGCTGAGTTGTCTCCCAAAAATCTGTCTTTTGGTCAAGTTTGGTCATTTTATTTGCCAATGAGCGTTCCGTCGTTGTCATTTTAGTTTTTTTTTTTATTATTGAGAGAATTTAAAACTTAAAATGTTGACTAATTCAAACTGTCCGATCTCTTTGTTTTCTAGCTATAACATATTTTGTTTTCTCTAATAAACGCTTCTTTCTCGCACAGTTTCTTAATAATTTACTTCTAAATTTTATATACGTTTCAGATTGAATTTCGAGTAGCATATCAAAGAAGTTATAAATATATGGATGGCTAGTATGGAATGAACCGTTTAATTTTAAATGAAAACTTTCACAGCTGTTTGTGGTACGGTTGTAGCCGGCAGTAAACTATGCCCAAATATTGGGGGGAACGTCGCGTCTGGTGAAATGTAGTTAAACTAATTAAATCCTATAAGATATCGAGTAGATCTCTTTAAAAAAATCATCCTGTATAACTAAATTTGCGATAGAAATTTTAAGATAAGAAAGGTTGCACGGGCCGCAACTCATACGTATATCGAAAACTGCCGGGCCGCAATTCACCGGTCTCCAACATTGTAAACAACACCTCGGGCCGCGACTCACCTACGGTCGTATAAATGATGTTGCCAATGTTAAAATCGTAAATTATTTTCAGTCTTATATTATATTTTCTTTATAGGTCTATGTGTATATAGTCATAGGTTATAACAATACAAATTCATTTTATACAATTTTAACAAAGTTTAAAGTACAACATCACACAGTCACAAATACAACGTAATTAAACAATTGAAAATATTAATTACAAATCATAAAAACATAAGATATTATTTATAGTACAGGTGTACAGCAAGGTTGACACATTCAAAATATTAAGTACAAATTAAACAATTGAAAAAATATTAAATACAAATCATAAAAAATATTATTTATAGCACGAGCCATTATACAAAGTTAACATGGGTATAACGTTGGTGGACCCTATGAAAAAAGGTACTACCTCAATAATACAACTCATAGTAACCTACTATGGAATTTATTTCGCCTTATCGCCGGACTTTGCAGCAGCATTCCGCTTGCGACATATCTTTGACAAAGCGTCAACTTCTTTTTGTAGCGATTGAACTTTACTCGTCAACATTTCCTCGTTCCTGTTATAAACTTTTTTACCAGAGTCCATCTTTTTGCGCAGCTCAGTTTCGGCGGCGAAACGTTTTGCTCTCAGATCGAAAATCTATCAACAAAAAAAAATTCACGGTATTTCACAAAAGAATCTCCCTCGTTCGTTCGAGCCCTACCGGAGCGCTGTAAATTTCTACTTACCAATTTGTCTTTGGTCAAAATTTGCGCATCTTTTTGCTTTGATGACTGTTGCATCTTAGCTATTTGTTCTCTTAGTGCAGTAATGGTAGCCGTGCAAGAAGCATGTGGGTCGACGGGCTTATGCATTTTAAACGGCGGCGGAAGCGAATAATCCGGTCCACCGTCGTCGGATCTGCAAACATGAGAAACACCAAATAATTTTTATAATAATTTTCAGAGTTAATCA